TAAACCCCTGAAGCCCCTAAACCCTACCATTTCGCTTCCATGCGCAGGCATCGGTGTGGGCCGAATTCCTGTACAAGGCCTGTCAGAGGCCTGTGGAATCAGAGCTCTTCTATCGCAGGATGCGAGGTTTACTCCAGAAGATCAGCTGATGGCATGGCATGATTTTCTAAACGTAGCCCCTAAAATCATACGCTAGTCTCCTCCCAAAACCTTACTGTAACCGTGATAATGCTTCTGGTACATGTTGCATTGGCATATTTTCATTTGGGGGTTTCCGAAAATAGGGGACCCTAATATAGTACCCTAAATAATAGGATCCTTACTATAGGGACCCCCAAATAAGGTACCCCTTATATTCGAACCCTAAACCCTAAACCCTAAACCCTAAACCCTAAACCCTAAATAATCATGGGAAACCGCGACCTCTGCAGGTGAGACGCTTTTTGTGACACCCTGGGAAAACGCGAGAAGCCGCCCTCTGAACAAGGAATTCCCAGAGAAGGCCTGCATGTCAAGCTGCACAGGACATGTCCTCGGCACAGGCTTTAGGGTTTAGGGTTTAGGGTTTAGGGTTTAGGGTTTAGGGTTGAGGGCTTCCAACCCTAGTAGGGCTTGTAGCGTCAAACATAGACTTACAGGGTGTAATGTAGGGGCCTTAATGATTAGAATAGGGTTTTATGGCTCCTTTATGATATATTGTAGGAACCCTTAGAATACTATGGCCTTAATAATTGGAATAGGGTTTTCAGGCTCCTTTATAATATATAATTAATAAGGAGCCCTTAGAATACTATTAGTAACTGTTTAAGCCCCTATATTGGGCCTTGTCCAGATTTGGAGGCGAACTTGGGGATTGGTAGGGGGTCTGGGGTATAGCGGTTTAGGGTTTAGGGTTTAAGGTTTAGGGGTTTAGGGTTTAGGGGTTTAGGGTTTAGGGTTTAGGGTTTAGGGTTTTCTAAACCCTCCCCGACCCTGCAAAAATAGTAGGGTATGATCAACATTGCAAGGCTTAACCCTCAAAGCTGTATGTTTTCGGATCCACAGATAAACCCTAAGCTCTAACATGCAACACAGTAATCGACAAAAGTTATGTAGCACATGACCCTGCTCTGGATCGCGGCACTTGGTTTGGAAAACTTCTTCCAGGATTAGGGCCTATAGCCTAGAGTAGAAAAACCCAAGGCAATGAACAGACAAAGCACTATGATGCAATGTCTAGGCACAAACCCTAAACCCTAAACCCTAAAACCCTAAAACTCTAAACCCTAAACCCTAAACCCTAAACCCTAAACCCTAAAACCCTAAACCCTAAACTAACCCGCGCCCTACAAACGGGTAGATTAAAGCCCTCAAGATCCCTTGTAAGAGTTTAGGGTTTGGTGCTGCGCTCTTGGGGGAGGTTTAGGGTTTAGGGTTTAGGGTTTAGGGTTTAGGGTTTAGGGTTTAGGTACGAAGACTGGCAAGAGACACCCTGAAACCCAAACCCTCAAGCCTATCCGACACCCTAAACTGCACTATGAACTCTAAACCCAAACCTCCAAAACCCACGCCCTAACACTAAAACAAAAGCGGTTGAAGGGGATCCCAGGGGCTTTCCCGATGCCAGGTTTCCGACCATCTGCGCGGGCGATGCGGAAGAAAAGTACGAAGCAACCTGAGGGGCCTAAACCCTAAAACTCTAAACCCTAAACCCCTAAACCCAAAACCCCTTAACCCAAAATGGCTTCTGAGGCTTCTGTATCAGAGTTACAGGGGCCCCCTACATGCTCACCCAAAACAACACCTCAAAGCCCCGCCAAGAAATGAACCCCCGAGCCCCTTATAAGCCCTGAGTAACACTGTTTCTATAAATATATATATATATATATAATGCCTCAAACCCTAAACCCTCTAAAACTTTATATATATATATAATATGTTTAGAAAATATTTGTCGATCAATATCTATAGCTTTACTAACTATGAAACAACATTACAGCCAGTATGTACGAGCATAAAACGTCTACACCTTTGTTGTCTAATCACAATACATCCCTAAACTCTAAACCCTATCTCTATATCTATGGACTGTAACCCTAAACTCCTTATATTCCGAAACCCTAAGCCCTAGTTGGCAATCCAAAACTCCTATACTTGGCTGGCTTCTGACCCTCCTAAAAGTTAAACTTTTAGCCTACCTATTCTAGCTCATACAGACGTCCTAACAGCCAACCTGAAGAACGCCGAAAGCTTAAACCCTACAACCCCTACAACCCTACAACCCTAAACCCTGAACCCTAAACCCCTAAACCCCTAAACCCTAAACCCCTAAACCCTAAACCCCTAAACCCTAAAACCCTAAAAGCCTAAACCCCTAAAGCCTAAACCCTAAAAGCCTAAAAGCCTAAACCCCAAGTATAAAATCGACCTGAGAAACCCTGGGTTCCCGCCTCGAGCTACTCGCGGCTCACCAGCCCACGAGCCTCCGGAAGGAGCCCCGGGTTTAGGGCTTAGGGGCTCTAGGGGCTCTAGGGGTTTAGGGTTTAGGGGGCTCTAGGGTGTTTAGGGGTTTAGGAATTAGGGTTTTGGGTTTTTAGGGTTTAGGGTTTCGGCATTGGGGGTTTAGGGGTTTAGGGGTTTAGGGCTTTAGGGGTTTAGGGTTTAGGGTTTTTGGGGTTTAGGGTTTAGGGGCTCTAGGGGTTTAGGGGGCTCTAGGGGCTCTAGGGGCTTA